ATACATATACATATATACATACATACATATACATACACATACATACATATATACATACATACATATATACATACATACATACATATATATACATACATACATATACATACATACATACATATACATATACATACATACATACATATACATACATACATACATATATACACATACATACATACATATATACATATATATATATAATTCCCTGCATTCTAAAAATTGTTCATACACTTTATTTGCTTTACAAAATTACTTTTAGTCCACAAGGCATAACTTACCTACTGTAACAGATGCCCTGTTCCTGGATATTACTTTTATTTTTGCCTGGATCGGTATCTGAACTCATCAGAACAGATTTCCCCCAGCTGGTTCGTATACCGAATAATATACCGAACCCTTGGAACACCTAAAGCGTGTGCCTCCAATTGACCTTACTGACACTTGCTCTAACCGCAACTCTGAACGCTCTAAGTGGTTCACTGGATGGCTGACGATTTGAATGCACGAACACATGGCGGCGGCCATATTGTTTTGTCGAACGCATCCAGCTGTGTTTAGTCGTCGAGTGTATGGAACTATTTTCAGACACTCAATGGCCCAAACACCGCTGAGACTTTCAGGATCACCTAGGTTCGTTCCAAATCATCCGAAAGAGGCCGCGAAACCCAACTCCTAAACAAGTGGCACACGACTAGCTTTCCCAACAGTTATTTGAGACATTTCATTATATTTTAATCCAATGGAAGAGACCGGCCACACAGCTTGATTCTACGGAGCTATTCTGGGCAGGAGCCTTGTGTGCGATCGGTCAGAAATAATACCTCCATGCGAATCCCGAACCCCTGAACTGATCTGGGTGATTTTTGGATATGTTGCTCACCCAGATCGGGGCTATCAGGGGATACATGTGTTTTATGTGTTTTTAATGTACACTTATGGGGTTTATGTGTGGTTCTGGGGTATTTCAAAATGTCTGTAAATTGTTATTTTTTTCATCTGGAGATAAAGTGATACAGTAATTGACTCAATTATCTCCCAGGCAGAGATGAGGGATTGTATGCCATGTGTGGGAGTGTCTTACATTGTAACTCTGTCATTATTGGTTTGTAAGTTTGTATTACAGTCCCCAACAAGATCCATGTGGGTAAGGGTCGACCGATATTGATTTTTTTTAGAGCAGATACCGATAGCGATAATCCGTGAACGTCCAGGCCGATTGCCGATAACCTGTACATTTACCATACCAGGTAATTGCACAAAATATACATGCCACATGTAGTGGATGCAGTGTGTTTAGGCAGGGGAGCTGTGTGTGTGTAGTGAATGCAGTGTGTATTTGTAAAGTGTGTATATAATGAATGCAATGAGTGTGTGTTGTGTATATATATATAGTGAATGCAGAGTGTGTGTTTATATAGTGTGTGTATAGTAAATGCACTGTTTGTGTAGTGTGCGTAAAGTGTTTGTATAGTGAATGCAGTGTGTGTGTATATAATGAATGCAGAGTGTGTGGGGGTGTGTGTTGTGTGTATATAATGAATGCAGAGTGTGTGTGTGTTTCTGAAGGGTAGACTAACCAGGTACCTGACCTCCTGTCGGTCAGTACCTGACTTAGTCGAGTAGTCCACCCATAAGCAAATACTGGACCTGGTGACTTCTGTAGCCCATCTCTGTCCTGTATGTCCCCAGCATTCAAGTGGGCAACTGGTACTCCTGGTTTCCCTTGTACTCCCAGGCACAGAGTTGTAGGTACTTGGTGGGCAGAGGCCAACTGCACTCTGCCCTGGTGCCAGTGTTTCTGCTGGGTGGACTGGTACGTAGTCCTGCCCTGCAACAAGGGGGCAGGTAGGGAAGAGGCCAGGCTGCTCTCTGCCCTGATGCCAGCGGGCATGTCTTTGGATGACATCCCGAGCTGCTGATGGGTAGGACCGACCATCTCCACTCCCTGTATCTTTCCCTTTGGTTGGGGAGGGGGACCAACTGTCTCTAGCTGCCGCTGGGGAGAGAGGGCGATATGCTCCTCTCCCTGTAATGCACAGTGCCGCTGGGAAATGACCGTCTCCACTCCTACGAGTGCTTGCTGCTGCTGGGATGAGGGGCCGACAATCTCCTCTCCCGATAACACTGTCTGCCACTGGGGCGAGAGACTGGTTGTCCACCCTCATTGTATGGTACACTGCCGCTGGGGAGTAGGACCGACTGACCCTACTCCCGGTAACGCCGTCTGGTTCTGAACTACTTCTCTTAGGTTCTGGTACTCCTGCTCCAGTTTCCATTCTATAGCGACCAGACAGGTGATGTCGGGTCCCAAACCTGCAGTACTGGGAAGCTACTCCAGTGGAATAAGTACAAAGCAGAGACTCCAGTAGGTATGATTTGAAGAAAAGTATAATTATAATATAATTATATTAATGATGGTTAATGATCTGGTATGAACATTACTTTAATTGAAAATTAACAACAGAATAGGATATTATATGCCTATGAGGATAGTAGCCAGCTGTGAAAGGGTAAATTCAGTGTGGTCTAATTGTCAGCCGAAGTTTTTATTGCTTCTTGCCGCATTGTGTGTTCTGTGTGAAGTTAGTTTATAAGTGAAGCACATCATCATAAATCTTGTTAAATTCTTGACAACTGGTTGCTTTAGCCGCTGAATTGTGTTTAACCCCTTAAGGACCAAACTTCTGGAATAAAAGGGAATCATGACATTTCACACATGCCGTGTGTCCTTAAGGGGTTAAACCATTGCCATAATGTATGCATATGTTATACCTAAATATTCACTGATTGTCACGCATGTTACATATTTACTGTGTGAAGTAAAATCCTCTGAAGACTTTCTCTAGGATCTAAGAGAATTAATATAGTGGGTAAGTGTTATTATTATTGCCATTTATTTGGCACCAACAGATTCCGTAGCGCTTTACAATATTATGAGAGGAGGGATTTAACTATGAATAGGACAATTACAAAAAGAAAAACTTACAGGAACAATAGGTTGGAGAGGACCCCCCTCAAACAAGCTTACATTCTATAGGAGGTGGGGTGTAAAAAACAATTGGACAGCTTTATATTATCATTTTTCAGGGGTACAGTGCCAAGATATCAATTTTGATAAAATAAAATTAAATTAATTTTTGATAATTTTTATATTTGATATTAATATTTATCACCCCACAAATATCCTCACACCTGGTCACCCAGATCAGGGCTATCAGGGGATGTAACTTTTGTGGGAATTTTATGTGTTTTGGGACGGAGCTTCCTGTAACGGAGCTTCCTGTACCCCGCCAAAGGATGCTCCTAGTGCTCACCAAGGTCTCCAAGCACTCCACCAGACACCATCAGCACTGCAGTCCCCACATCCAGCGTTACAGCGTGGCTGGGAACTCGCCATCCTCCACCCACCCTGGACCCAAGACCAGGATTCAGCTTCCAGTGGGTGAACCTCTCTTACTCCAGAGAGTGTAGCAGGAATAGCTCTTAAAAGGGCTAGTGATTATAATCCAAGGAGAGTATAGTGATATAGCAATCCCCAGGCTAGATACAGCCTTTTCCCCCACACATGAGATGAGACTATGTTGAGGGTAAAACAGAACTTAATTTTAATGGAGGCACACTGGCCTTTTATGCAAGTTTCCCAACAAAGGTGACAACCAGATGGACCTTGTTGGGTACAGGGACACAAAGTGAATAAACCAATAAAAACTGATTCATACAGTGAGACACTACCATACACAAACAATAGAATCCCTCCTCTGTGCTTGGGAGATAATTGAATCAGGAACTGTGCTAATCTAACCCAATTATCTCCAAGCACAGAAAAACATACAATTTTATGAAACCCCTAAAAGTACATTACAAACACATAAAACACATACATCCCCTGATAGCCCCGATCTGGGTGAACAACATATCCAAAAATCACCCAGATCGGTTCAGGGATTTCCTGGAAGTTATAGTTTTGACTGACCGTGCACATGGTCCTATGCCCAGAAAAGGCCAACGGACGGTCTCTCTTAATGGAGTACAAAAGTACTTACATTACATGAATGGAGTCTTTAAAAGTGTATTGGGCAAGGTATATTGCAGGGCCCATAGTCACAGGATAAGAGGCAAGCAAACAGGCCCCTCCAAAAACCAGTGGCAGTGCGCAAGCAGGCGAAGATTAAAAAGGTATAAAGGAATATTCTCAGGAATATAAGGTGTAGGCATTTGCGGATGACTGTAGCGGAGTAGTGGTATTATCCACGGTATCTCCGCTGGTAGGCAGGATGAAGCAGGTAAAATGTAGGTAAAATGCAAGTAGCGTAGTTACCATCCTTTTCTCCTAAGAACTAGACGACACATAGCTTGGAGGTTAAAACACTGGCATCTCACCAGGCTGAGTCAAACTCTTTAATGATTACAGCTTCCTTTAAGCACAGACCTCCGCAGGGTCTTTACATCATATTACATTCAGGGTGGGTTACACTTTAAGTGGCTGGTTTGGCCACAGATAGGAATAGCAATGCAGTAATAGCAAGATATATACAAGGACATTCTGTAAGTGGCTAGGTTTGCCACAATGCTCCCCCAGAACCAAGCTGGCATACACAGTCTGATCCCAACAGATCGGCTTGGGGATGTCCGGAGGAGTACTCACAGATCACTTTTCAAGTTCAGTTTGTCTGGATAACCCGTCGGCGTTGCCATTTTGCTTCCCTGGGCGGTAGTGGATGGTAAAGTCAAAAGGCTGCAGCGCCA